TCCCACGGCTGAAAGGGCAAGCATGTTTGGTGTGACGGGGATTCGAACCCGCGACCCGCAGATTGCGAGTCGAGCGCCCTAACCACCTGGCCATGCCGGGCCCAAAAGGTAAGATTTTCAGCTTTCCCGCAAGCATACTTCATCATAGTTTTTAATCTCCGGTTTTTAAAAACTCATTAATGTTCTTGATACAACAACAACAACAACAAAAAACTTTATGTTATATGATTCAACGACAATTTTAACCCCACTTTTAAAACAATTTAAAGTGTAACCAACCCACCTAAGCACCACATTCGCTCTAAATAATTCTTCTTATTACAGTATAAAACCGGCATTATTGCAACGGTTGACTGAATCCAATAGTAGTTCATACACTAAATAACATATTGTATTTATATACATCTTTCAACTTTACATTCTTAACACTAGTTCCCACTTTTTAGTGCCCTAATAATCAAGGAAACGGGTTTTACATAATCCTAACCTGCTTGTATGCACTGTTCTTTATACATATCAGGTGTATAGTTTATTCTGAGAAACGCAATAAAAAATGTCCTTGGTCGTTATTGCATGTTTTTGTTTTGTTTTTTTCAAATTCGACTCAGTTATAGTAGTACATCATGAAGTAAGTCATGTTTTCCGCGTAATAAAATCCATCCTTTCGAGATGTATCAGCTTAAAGGGACAAACTGCAGAAACCAGAGCCGATAAATATACCAGATTCAGTATAAAAAATCACCATATGTCCAACAAAATGAAGTGCCATTAACATATCGTTTGACTTTATCGTAAAAGACAGTTACTCTGTAACTTATGGATGAGGTGCAAGAAGCATCATGATGCATGCACTCAATAGGATCTTTACTTACACATCAACCAATAGCCACAATAACTGTGAATGCGGTATTATAAATAATTATGGAAAGGAAAGATAAAAAATAGTACAAAAGGAAAATAATACAGAAATGCTAGTCTTTTATCGTGTTAGAAAGTGCCAGAACAGTATAAAGTCTAGTAAAAAGTATAAACAGTCATACGACGCATAGTAATAGTAATGTGTTCCATTCATGGCCTCGAGGAGTGAAATATAGCATGACAAAAGTGTTAAAGTTTTGGCTGGTCAAGAATACTTAGTGTGAAAAATTGAGGAGAGACTCCTTGTGTCAGTAGGAGCTGAACAGCAAACTCTAAAGAGGTTACCTGAAACTGACGAGGAAAAAATTCAAAACATTCCAAACTGATGTTAAGTATCTCAGGAATATTCTTTGAAAATTAAAAGACGATCGAGTGCAAATATTGCCAACAAACCTTGCTGTAACTGCAGGTGTAAAAGTTACTTCGAAAACAGTAAGACACTTTAACACGAAGTGGTCTCAATGAATCTGTAGCTGTTCAAACAATATGTTTAGCAGAGATGACGAAACCAAAAGGTTGAAATGGAAATCATACTACAAAAAGTGAAATGAACAAAACTGGAGATGTGCGCTCTTTTTAGATTAATCCAGTTTCGAATAATTGTTCGGCAACAATGAACCATAGTTTGTTCGACGGCGAAGAGGAGAACGGTATCATAGCCAATGCACAACATCTTCAGTAAAGCATGTTGGGGATCAGTACATATTAAGTGCTGTATCTCAGTCAACGGAATCGGTGACCTACACAAAATTGATGGCACCCTAACTGCTAACGAGTACATTATAATTCTTATGCATTATGCCATTCCCTCAGAATCAAGATTCATCGGACGGAGATTCATTTTCCACCAAGAGGCCAATGGAATACTACAATCATGGCTTGGTCATCATGAAATCCTGATATGAACATTATTGAGGCTATATGGGTTTGTGTAAAAACTAAGAAGGTCAAAAGGCACCAAATAAAACAACCTGACTGGATTGTGGGGAGAAACACAGAACATTTAGAGCAGCATTGAACAATTATTCATTCATAAACTGTATGACGGAATGTTATGTTTGCTCGTTATTTTATTTTATTTTTGTAGTTAAGTACAAATCTATACAATGGGCTATCTGTGCCTACCACGGGTATCGAAACCAAACTTTTAGCGTTATAGGCCCACAGGCTTACAGCTCAGCCACTGGGGGGGGGGGCATGGAAAAAATGAAAAACAAGTGTAATGCTCTTTGTAAAGCAATGAACTCACGTATAAAATATTAGTATATTATTGTACAACTTATTGGCTTTTATTTAGTATTTTTTGTGATAACGTTTTGTATCATTAATCATCTGGATAACATTACTTGTTGTTTCTGATTCCTGTATCTGTCTTTACATAATTATCTCCATAATTATATATATTATCAAACTTTACCCTCGATATAGTTTTGTCTCGAGTAACTATAGATTGTTGTCACTGCTCTATACCAGCGTATATCTGTATCTACTTGTATATGGGGTAGCTCTATATGTATCAGTCACCACATATTTTGACTAGCTCTCTAAGAAATTATCATTCTATACTTGGGTTGACTTCGTGTGAACGGTATAACTAACAGTTGTCATAATCTAAATCCGAGGAATCTCTACGTGTTGTCATCATCTATACCCAAAGTATCTCTCTGTGTTGTTATCATGTGTACCCGAAGTATCTTTGTGTGTTGTGATCGTCAATATCCGAGGTATCTGTTTATGTTATCATTGCCTATAACTGAGGTAAATCTCTATGTTGTATCATCCATATATATATATATATATAGATGTAGCTGGGTTTGGGAGTTGGAGGACTACTGGGCTTTAGCCTCCTACTAACTTCTCTCGAAAGTTCGGACACGTGTTTCAGGGCCGGGTGGCTAGGGCGCTCGACTCGCAATCTGTGGGTCGCGAGGTCGAAATCCGGCACCAAACGTGCTCGCTCTTTCAGCCATGAGGGCGTTATAATATACCGGTAAGTCTCACTATTCGTGGGTAACAGAATAGTCCAAGTGTTGGCGGTGGGTGCTCCCGGTTGGTTACTCTCCCTCTGGTCAGCACTTCCAAATTAGGTACGGCAACAGATAGCATTTTAATAACTTTGCCATAAACAAACCAAATTTTGATCCGAAATTTCACCGTAACAATTAAAAAAAAATTGAAGAAGTTTGCTTCAAACTGGAGCTCAGTATTATTTTATCAATAGTAAGTATTATAGTGTTACCATTAAATGCTAAGTTATAAATAGTAAGTATTATCGTGTTACCATGAAATGCCAAGTTATAAATAGTAAATATTATCGTGTTACCATGAAATGCCAAGTATTGAACTTATTGCATTTGTTTTCAATTCATTAAGCCATATGCTAACCATCTATTTTTCTTGGCCTAGGGACTGTATATACCTATGAAAACTCTATGCTGACATCATTTATAGCCAAGGTAACATAGTCTTCATCGATACTAAGAACAACTACATATGTAGTTATCAGCGTATATCAGTGACAGTTCTAAATTTCGCCATTACTCTATTATTATCGTTAATGTCTCTTTTCATATCAAAGTGTTTATGATTATAGGCAATAAACATCTCATTACTGGCTACTTTTTCTTCTGGCGACTATTTTTGCTTAATTTAGAAAAGTTTAATTTTAAATTAGACACGTATACACTGTAGTTGCTGTTTTGGTTGAATATAAAGTTCTATATTTTTATAACAATAGCATTGTTTTACATGTAGAGCTACTATTTTCTAATTCAGAAGCTTAATGGTCAGAGTGCTGGGCTGCGGAATACAAAATCCAAAGTTTGAGCCACGATGAAGATGAACACTTTCTGCGCTTTCAGCTGTTGGCGCGTTATACAAATGACAGTCAACCTTGTTATTCTGTTTGAATTGTCGAACAAAGCTCTTGTGGTGGCGGGTGCTGCAGAGCAAAAATCCTCCTTTTGGTTAGAGGTTCAAAATTTGGGACAGCTATGGCTGAATCCTATGGTCCTCTAATTTGGCTATTCGGTTCATGTACCCAGAAGGTAGCATTTAACAGGTTGAAAATGCTTATGCAAATTTATAGTACAATATAAAAGTTGTTTCAAATGAATTGTGAAATTTTAGTATTTTCTCTCTAACCTTGTTGTCCAGATTATCAAGTATTTTAGTTTCAATAACTGATGGGTCGTTTTCATAATAGTCTTGTTACTTAAGACTGCAATTTTCTAATAGACATAAATTCGAACCAAATGAAAATATTATGAGGGCGCATTATATGTTTCTGCAATTTATTTTCCAGTATAAACATCTTTTCTATTAAGATTGCCTAACATTATGAACCTCAGAAAATCTTCGTAGCACCGATATTTTTCATGGGATAGAAATTATGTTTATTCAAGAACGAAATGATCAAATGTTGCTGATTAAATAGTTACGATAATATAATAATTGCGATTGATTATTAAACGAGGTTGAAATTGATCTAATACAAGCTGAGACACCCGTCTTACGTCCGGGGACGTAATGATTGAATGTAGGGCTTGAACTAATAAATTAAATCAATAACTTATATTTATATGCATAATTTATTTCACACATAATTTACTTTACAACTACTTTAATTCACACCAACTTTCTTCCACATTACAAAAATGGTGTTACAATGACTTTACTATATTACTTTTACTAATCCCTCTCTACAACCTCAGTGTATGTTAGTACTCTGAGTGCTTCTGGATAGACCACATTAGAAGTTCTTCCTCTTTCCTGGGCCAAAATAAAGAGATTTCATGGTGTTCCTACTCTACTCTTAAACACCCAATACAGAATTTACCATGCACTAAACGGTTACTCTTTAGAAAGAAGGGCGCTGTGAGTTGTATTACGTCATGGAACTCAAAATTTTCCAAGAAAAAGCTCAAATAAAGATTCTTTGGAATAAAAATTGGTCTAAGACTGTGGAATTATTAGCTAAACAAATATAATTTTGCTGTAGACATGGTCCAAAGTGGATGGGGCCTGGTAATAACCACCTTATGCCATGCCTATTAGTCCTATGTATCATCCTACCAAGTTTGGTTTAAACTGATTCAAAGACCACCAAGTAGTTCGTGTACAAACAAACATTTTTTTACTTTTATAAGTTTAGATCCAACAACAGCTCAGTCCAGTTGATAACGCTCTTGCGTACTGATTCCAAGATCTCGGATTCCAATACGTACTTCAAGACGGCAGTAGACTATCAAGTGAATCGTTGTTTTTAATACAGTTATGAAAAAAGTTAGCTGATAGATACAACACACACTCGTATACAACAATGAAACTGAAGGTCATAAATAAAGTTTTATCATAAATAAAACTTTTTTAAAAGTTCTAGCCTCAACAGTGTACCAGAATGCCACCAATGTGAAAATAAAACGTTCGTTATTTTATTCGTAAACAGTGGACTGAAGCAAGAAGCATCTAAGTCATATGAAGTCAAGACTATTTATTTGCGGTGTGCACAAGGAAGGATTGAATGGAAATATCCGCGAGGGGCGCTGCGAGTTGTGTTACGTCATGGAACTTCCGGTCGAGAATTTCAAGGGTGCCTTCAAGCTGATGATCGATTTAGTGGCGCCAGTATTTACATAGAAGGACATAGAAAATTACATTTATTGTTCAGCAAAATTGACGGAAAACATCCAAAACTGTTTCGATGTTTTACCTCTCAAAACGGAGAAATAGCGCTTTACGTTGAAGCGGAGCAATTTAACAACAGACTACAGAAAGAGATAGCAGCCTTTAACTATGATCTCCAGCCATTTTCTGGCAAAACTATATACAATAAGTTAGATGGTAAGTTATATATTTTTTCATATTACTTATAAATTTAAATTGAATTCTTATATATTTTGGGATAAAGTTTGAATTCTTTATCTTCATAGATCCACAAAATGGCGCATTGTACTTAATATAATACAAATTCCAAATATATTTTATGAATAAGTTAAATAATTAGTGTGTAATATATATATATATATATATGTGTAAAAACCCATTTTTGTCATTTTACGTTCTATAATATTACTAAATTTGATGATCTTAAGTTCAGATCATTTAAACATGTAGTGTTTTTCATGCTTTGAACTATTTATTTCATTACAGATGTAAATTATTTTAGTCCTTAGCTGATATTTTCCAAAAATTTTGTTTCGACCAAACAATATTTTCAAAATATTGCATAAACTTAAGGTTTAAGACATTTGTTTAGTTTATTCGTTTGTTTGCGGAGTTTCGCGCCAAGCTACTCGAGGGCTATTTGCATTAGCCGTCCCTAATTTAGAAGTAGTAGATTTGAGGAAAGCAGCTAGACAACATTACCCACCGCCAACTCTTGGGCTACTCTAACTGAATAGTGGGACTGACCATCACATTATAACGCCACCATGGCTGAAAGGGCGAGTATGCTCGGTGATGATTTTCAGTAAGTAAGATATGGAAGTCTTATTTTCTGAATGTAAAAATTATGTTTTATTATGAAATTTTGAATACATAAACAATGAGCTTGTAGGCTTTAAGTTATTACAATAGTTGTCTGTATAAGTGCTTTCGAAACATCCTGAATATCTACTGCTCTAATAAATTTATTTAACACGTTGTTCACCAGGGGGTATTGAAAGAAACACTTCTGTTGACACTGAGCATTAGTGTAAGCATTGTTTAAAATCTATTCTCATGGAAAATTTTAAATGTGTTTTTTTATTATTTTAATGATGTTTCATCAGAACTTTAGTGCAATTTACAGTTTTTGTTTCTCTTCTAGAACAGTATTTTTGCAGTAAATTCAAATTTTAAAACAAGTTTGGAAAGTATTCAAGCTTTCTTACCATTTGAAGGAAAGCTGTGTTTCGTATCTTATTTGCACTGAAGATCCATTAGTGTGCTCGCGCGACCAGACTGACTATAACTCAGGTTACAACATGGTCGATAGAGCACGAGAATCTAGCAAAACAAAAATGGCCACGAACTTCTGTAATGGTAAAAGATAATAATAATAACGACCTTAACATTAAGTAATAAGCTTTTGAACGTGTTTGTAAAATTTCAGTTCCACAGTTTTCACGCCTACTGAGAAGTTTGTAAACTTTTTCTTTCTGTTGCCATACATTGCATACCTTTGAGAGCTAAGGTAATGAAACACGTGGCTTAGGCGTTTATTGATGTATATGTTACGTGCATTTATTTTACCACTAGCGTAATTAGGGAAGGTGAGCGGGGCAGCTGTCCCTGGCGCAGGCCAGAAGGGGACGCAGAGCTCCAGCTCATTTAACGCATATTTGAAAACTAAATCTGATAATATGATTTTGGAAAATTTTCCCATATATTTTTATTATTATATATATATACTACACTTCCTTCAGGAAAAACGTGGTAACACTGACCACGTCACTTATTTTGATGAAAGACTCACAATATTAAACAAGGCTTTGCGCTATTTTGACGAGAGACTTGAGCTCATTGTTACTTACTCTACGTTAAGCTACAAATACAATTAAAGTTTCAGGATTGATTTTACTTTATGATTATATAGAGTGTGGAGGAAGAGGGCAGTTAGTGAAATTTGCCCCGAGCGCAAAAACACCTAGTTACGCCACTGTTTTTCAAGTTTTTTGTTTGTTTTTTAGTCAGTTTCACTGTTTATCACTGCTATGCCTTTTGTATACACGGAAAATAAAACCAAGAGATATCAGCGCGGGGAAATATATATGTATATATATAAAAAAACAGGAGGAGAAGAAGGAAGGCTTAAGAATTAAAAACATTTAAACGTGGCTGTCGCGACCTCTTGCGATGGTGAAAAGGTTAAGTGTTAGTGACGTGGGAAAATTGTTTGTAGCAAGTAGAGGGCGTCCTAAGATGTCGGTGAAATATGGAGAGATCTTAAGTCAAAAAGTACCAAGACTTTAATGTACGTTAAATCTCGCTGTTTTGTTTATAAGAATTTCACATTTTCATACAAAAAACTGTAACGTTAACGAAACAATTAGATAATTGAAACGGACATGACTGGCTTATCTAAATTCCACCTGCGTTCCAACTTGTTTAATTTTATTATTATGTTTTTGGGAGTAAAACAACACGTACCTTACCGCGCTAGGCCTGGAAAACGAATCATTCTATGTTGTATTATACAAGAATATGCAATTAGTTAAAGGTTTGTATAGGCAATGCAACGGAAATGCCACTTGCAAGGTTCTGCATGTTAAAAACATATTTATTCATTGAACAGAATTTTTGAATTGAAATAAGGTATGTCTTGTTGACCTTGAACATTAATAACTAAAATCAAACAAAACTATCTGTCCCTCAGTGGGTCAGCGATAAGTTTAGAGTCTTACAACGCTAAAACCCGGGGTTAGATTCTCCGTCGTAACCATATTTACACAAGCCGCAAACTAAGGGTTAAAGAAAATATCACCTGAGTCATTCGTAGGTGATTTTTTGAACCACCCATAAGCTGATAGGCCAGTAATAGATGTTTTTGTTTCTTTACTGATCGAATAGAGGTTACAAAACCGTCTAAAATGAGACATTTGGAATAGTTTTTATCACATTACCACTAAAAAGAGTTAATACTCTAAAATTACTATACATATGAATATTTCGCAGTACTAATAACAATAATTTTAAAAAGTTATGAGTGGAAGAATATGTTATAATATGTTAATCACATTACATCTGACATATCCAGTGTCGATGAAGCCTTTAGTACAATACCAAGGCTCATCAGGCCGGTTGGGATAGGACAGACACATAGTAGTGGTCTAGCAGCTATTTATATCATATTAACAATGACTGTTCTGATGTGGACTAAATTAACTATGTGAATTGTGAAGTTACAATATATGTATATGTATTTTTTAGAGTGTCGTCCGTGTACAGAAGAAGAACTAGTTGGATTTTACTGTGGCAGTAGTTTTGGTAAATATGAACATTTCTTATTGATCTGTATTTTCCCACATAACCGCTTAATTATAAGATTCTTTCTACATGTGTTCCTAATGACATTCTATACCTATGATAAAACTGGATTAAAAAATTAAAAATTGTATAAAATCGTATATTATTACACCCTCTTATTGTTGGTATTGGTACAACAAAAAGAACATTTTGGGTTTAAAAGTCAAACAACGTTTGTTACTTCACACAGGCTTTTATAACACGCTAACGTATAAATTAAATGTCATCTAGTTGACCAATTTCTGTAGATATAGTTCTTGAACTACGCATCATCTGGTTTAAAAGACTGCATGAGTCAATCTCGAATTGCCATCAAGTTTAACAGTTTCTGTGGCTATAGTTCCTGAACTACTTATCATCTAGTTTACCAGTTTCAATGGGTAGTTCCTGAATTACATGAAAGTTAATTTACAAGACTGCATGGGTCAATGTTTGAATTGTCATTTAGTTTACCAGTTTCTTTGGTTAGTGTTTAAAGTAGGTATGATCTAATTTATAAGGCTGTATGGATCAACGTCTGAATTGTTATCTAGTTTACTAGTTTTAATGGGCAGTGCCTGAAATAATATGATCTAATTTACAAGACCGTACGGATTAGTGCCTTAGAAGTCATCTAATTTATCAGTTCCAATAAGTAGGGCCTGAAATACGTATCGTGTAGTTTGCAAGACTGCATGGGTCAATGTCTGAACAATCATCTAGTTTTTCAGTCTGAATGGGTTAGCGCCTGTATTAACTATTATCCAGTTTATCAGCATATTTGTAAATCAGCATACAAGTTGGAAATTAGTTTCATTATCACACGTGTGAGTCAGTGACTGAAATTAATAACCATTGTTTATGTGTTTGCAAGGGTCAGCGCCTATATTATACGTATTCATTTATAATTGGTTACGAGCGGGACTCCATTCCAATATGAAGCCAGGCCACAAAAGTAATAATAAAATAAATGTCAAACTAATGATGGTTAAATAAATAGTTGCGTTTGAGTTTACTCACTGGCCATAATTATTTTTACAAATTACAGCTTTTACTTGAGAATGATCACACCATGCAGAGATCAAAACGTCGTACCTGTTTAAATAAATCTTCCTCAAAGCCTATGTAAAAGCTGTAACTTCTAAAAATAATAATGTTTAAAAATTTTAAATGTAGATGTTGATACGAATTAGATGTATTTTCCTGTGAAATACTTCATGAAGCTTTTCCACAACTGTTTCTCCCTCAAACCTTTTGCTGTGTTATAAAAAACAAAACTCCAAATTTTAATTATGCTCTTCTTATTTTTGTTATGTTCGTTTTTTTTTGTTTTTTTATAACGACACAGATTAATAAATTATGGTTCTGATGCTCTTGGGTTCTTACTTTCTTAGTGATTATGCGTTCCTAAAAGATTTTTTTAAATGATTCTAAAAAAAAAAAAAGAAGTTATCTTCATGCATACTAGAACACGCAGGAACGTTAATTAAGGAGGAAAAAAAGAGACGTTTCTCAGTAGTCTAACCCGGTTGTGAGTCTATTTTTAAAGTTATAACTTTGAAAAATAGAGATGTTTAGTTCAGGTTTCTGATAACAGCAAGCGTATGTTCGTCCTTTAATCCCACCAGATGGGACTTACTTAAGATAAAACTTGAGATACATTGTTATTATCATGTGCGTTGACACGACAACGTTTGACATACACGTGTACGCCTTCGTTACTTGGACGTCTAATATCCATGAAAACTAGGGGCTATAGAATGAGAGTAATTCATGCAATGTACTTTGTACACGCATGTTCTTTAGATAATATCTTTCAAAAATTTCATCAACGCTTTTGATACGTCAAGATAAGCTCCTTTTTTGTCGAAACTTATTTTGGAGTCATTTGAAGTCTAGCCTTATGTTATTCATTTTTTACAGCATCCAACTATTATCTGACAAGTGATAAATTGATGAAAGAGGATTTCATGTTTGCTGAGGTACGGAAGTAAAAACAATAAACCGTTACTGAACGATTTTCACGATAGTGATACAACTTCTAAAAACAAACCTAACAACAACAACAAAAAATAAACAGTTGCACATGATTCCTTAAAATCCCCCCCCCCTTATACACAGAAGAAATTATACGTATTTTACACGTCTCACTAATTTCCTAGTGACTAGATGACTGCTAAACACAATGCCGTACAAAGAGCTATCTGCTATGTGACCAGCGAAGAGATCGAATTCCAAGTATTAGCATTATAAATCCTCAAGCTTATCGCTGAGTCACCGGGAACGTCCTAGTAACAAGAATTAAGTAAACGTAATACACTTTATTAAAACACGAGTGACCTTGTTTACTTAATAACTACAACGCACAAGAATACTTCAAAAACGTTTCGAATCGCTGAAAGAGGTTATAAACGTAAAAAAAGCACCTTTGTTTACGTTTAACAGAATAATTGAGTATTTTTTTTATTTTACTGATCAAGTATTTATCATATATATATATATAAACCATTTCCGCAATCAGCTTAAACTCTGCTTAGCAGTCACGAAGCTGATCTATGAGAATTGTGTGTATTTTGTTTTTATGCATGGGTTGTTTATTCAGCCTCTCGACAAATATTACTATATTCACAATCATTGATAGTTAGAGCTTCATAACGCTTTATAATGTTAATTTACTGTTTCTAATTAATTCCACAGCATACCCCCTTTCATTTTACACTCCCAGCAGTTATTTTTCAGTCTGGATTGTATATAGTTTTGTGTGTAACTAAGTTATGCTATTTCTGGTCCTGGAGATTTACAGTTTTAAGTGCGCTGCTGTTTTAATACGATATCAGACTATTATCATGATCGAGGTATAAGGCTTTTGAGAGATATCATTTACATCATTAAAAAAATGCTTCTTGAAATGTATTTTCTCTTATAAGATAACGGGCCTGGCACAGCTTACTGGTTAGTTTGCACGGACTGTGAATCTGAAGACTCATGGTTCGTCTTGTCCTGTTGCCGCTTTACAATTTGTAGCTGTGGAGGCGCTGTAAGAATGGCGGTCACGTCCCACTAGTTGGTCAGATGAAGCTAGCCCAATAGTTAGCGGTGAATACTGTTGACTAGCCATCTTCTAGTGCATGAGTTTTAAATTAGGGAAGACTTTGCGCAGATAGCATTTGTGTAGCTTTGCTCGAAAATTTTAAAACACTCCATTCAGTAACTGTCATAAGAGTCCTCCTCCCTCTCGTTGGCTCAACGAAAAATTTGAGGCCTTGTAACCTAAAATTCAGAATTTGATCGATTCGGTGGGGACAGTACAGAAAGCTCATTGTTCAGTATTACGCTTAACAACAAACAAACTCATAAGATTTATTGTTTTCTAAAATTATTATTCATTATAAAGATTAGTTAGAAATAAAGTCCCTCGGTGTTTTAGCGGAAAGTGTATGGATTTAAACGCTTAAATCCGAGGTTCGATTCCAGCGGTGGACAGAGCACAGACATTGTGAAGTTTTGCATTAAAACAACAGCAATAGCAGTCAGAAATAAAATAGAAAAATAAATTAACAGCGCTTCGCGTGTTCTATGTAGGGTTCTGAGCTGAAAACATTTTCCGTCATTCTGTTCATTAGATTACAAATTTACCCAGTCACAGACATCGCTGTTATTCTGTAGAACGGAAAATCTTACCTTTCTACTCAGTCACAGACATCACTAGTATTCTGGAAAGCGAAAAATCTTACCTTTCTACCCAGTCACAGATATCACTAGTATTCTGTAGAACGGAAAATCTTACCTTTCTACCCAGTCACAGATATCACTAGTATTCTGTAGAACGGAAAATCTTACCTTTCTACTCAGTCACAGACATCGCTGTTATTCTGTAGAACGGAAAGTCTTACCTTTCTACCCAGTCACAGACATCGCTGGTATTCTGAAGAGCGGAAAATCTTATTTTTCTACCCAATCACAGACATCATCAGTTTTCTGGAGAGCGGAAAATATTACCTTTCTACCCAGTCACAGACATCACTAGTATTCTTGTAGAACGGAAAATACTTACC